GGAGGGAAGGACTTGGAGAGAGAGAGAGAGAGAGAGAGAGAGAGAGAGAGAGAGAGAGAGAGAGAGAGAGAGAGAGAGAGAGAGAAAGATGGTGGAGACCGGGACAACAGTGGAACTAAGGCCTTCTTCTTTTCATCCCATGCTTCGATGCAAATTCTGGGCAACCATTGCCACCCAGTTCACTGTCCTCATCAATCAGAGCCACTGCCGCTGTGTCCCTCCCCAGTGACTCACCCATATGCACAAAGCCGTTTTCACTCATCTGTGAAGCAGAAGCAGGAACAAACTGCCTATTATGAACCTCTTCCTCATGCTGGATGGCACTCACACACCGGTCCAGATGCTGTCCATTGGTTGTGTGCATGCTGCTGAATTGTTCCCCTCCCTTCACTAAGTCTTGGTTTTCAACTTGTCTGTTCTCATCGCGGCATGCAACCTCCTCCTCCTCACACAGATGGTACGTTCACTCCTCATCCATATGTTGAATGTTAACGGTCCCATTTGAGGCGACTCCTTTCCCTTTGTCTAGCGCTGAAGGGTCGGCTCTTGCGCCGATACCATAAGGATCTGATCCACCGGAATGACTTGCCTCAGACCCACTCAGGACCGTACAGGAGTCATTGCCTGCTCCTTCAGTAACCCCCGGGGGGATTCCCTGGGACAAGCAGCCTAGTGCATTATCCATCATCTGGCGGTCATCAGGGAACTGATAAAATATGACCTGCTGGGTTTCGCACCCATCATCAGAAAGATCATTCGTAGCGGCAACGCTGTTTTTTTTGCTGGCAGTCGTCAGACCCGTCACCCATGGCTCTGTCCTCCTCAGAGAAGAGCTTCGCCTCATCTTCATCCATCTTTTGCCTTCGAGAGCAACCTCGTCCTCCTCTTCCTCCTCTGCATTGTCATCATCATCATCACCCACCCCCTCTCCAGTACCCTCCTCCTCGTGGTCATTTAGCCCGACTTCCACTCTGTCGTCTAAACTTGTGTCTTGACGTGGATGCGTCTGCTCTCTCTCCCCGCTGTATCTACTGTGAAGCAGTTGACGTTCCAGCAACAAAAAATTTGCGAGCTCACCGTCATATTCCAACTCGGACTGAGAACTGTCCTCTTGTCCCAGCACATCCTCTTCGCTTGACTCTTCACTGTCAGAGCTCAACCTCTGCTGAGGAAATCGTGTGTGAAACAGGCAAGTGACTCAAGTGAGTAAACTCCATCCCTCCCCCCCCCCAAAAAAAAAAAGAGTAAATTACTAAATGCCATAACACTACAGGCAACACAGGAGGGAAAATGAGTTATGCTAACTTACACAAACTTACATTACAACTTGAATGGAAATTTCAAATTAATTGAATAAATTATTAAACTGACAGATAATTATTGATTATTAATCAGCAGAGGTGGGCAATTTTTTTTTTCCTCACCCTCGACCCAACCCGCCCAATTTTTTTTTCCCCTCATCCACCCGGCCCAAAATTTTTATTTTTTACTCTTATACAACCCCACCCACCCAAAATATTTTTTTATATTTCAGCCCCACGCCCGATCCGCCCGTGACCCGAAAAAAGCCCTCACCCACACCCGCCCGCACCCGTAAGAGTATCATCACCCGCCCGCGTCCAATACCTAAATTTTCTTCACCCGCACCCACCCGCATCAGCCCGTGCCTGCCCATGCCAGTCCCTTACACCATCACGATTTCATCGCCAACATAGTGTTGCAACAAAGACATCTAAAATCCTATTATTAAAACAACGGCAACATCAATGCAATCAGACTCGTCTTCTTTTCCACTTCGCATACATGCAAACAGACGACGATTGACGCTGGCGCAGAGCGCCTACTCAAAGCTCAGAGATATGGACAACGAGAACACAGTTCAGTTGCAAATTCACTTCAACAGGCTATGGCACACCAGCGCCTGTACATCCCACTGTCGTCACTATGTCCAACGCCACTACTTGCACAAGCTCACTCTGGATCACCCTGAATACTCCACACACGCACACTCTATCAGGTACCTCTACCCTACGGCGGCTATGGCAGCTCGCCACTACTACTATGGCCACGATCTCCCTTCAACCCACTTCGTCTTCGGGCAACCTGCAGACCACCTTCGCACAAGACGTTGTGGCAGCGCTTCCGCATGGCTTCCGCAGCGAATGAATGAATGGCTGGGCGCTGCCTCTTGATTTATACTTCTGTAACTCGTTGGTCTGCCCCTTTCCCAGACCCTTGGTGCACACAGTCCCACACGGTACTTGCTTGACTGGACTCTGACTGACTGGGACCGGTGCTGCTGACTGCATGGGTTTGCACTGCCAACTCTATGCAGTCGTACTGCCGACGTAACACAGTTGGCTCACCACTTGCCCACTTGCCTCTGACTAAAGGCCCACCACTTGCCCACTTGCCTCTGACTAAACGTGCCAGTGGGACACTTCGAAAAGTCACTTCCGGACTTTCCGGAAGGCTGTGGACTTGGCCTTTCGGGTACTGTAGAAGCTACGACCTTTACATTTCAGGACTGTAGCAGCTACGACCTTGACCTTTCAGAGCATCTACAGCCACAACCTTTACAGAGCTGTGACTCCTAATCGACAGACCTACAGATCGAACCCCTACGGCTACACGGACCTACGACAGACGACAAACAACTACCAAAACACATATCATGGGTTCAAACACTCAGGGGTCGACTCGGTACTGTACATGGGCAAAGTGAGGTCTTGGGATCGAACTCTAGGGCCCATATCCATGACTGCCGAAAGGTGAAAACCGTTTCATCAACAATGCGACTAGAACTTCTCAAAGGAAAATATTTCAAGATTTTTTTTTTCCGCCCAGGGGCAGCTGCACTGCTTTCGTACCGGTGTTACTTCATCGGGACCTGGTCAACTGAATCAAACACTTTTTTCTTTGGCTCTCAACCTCAAGCCCAACGTACTACACAAGGAGAGGAGGGGAGGGGGGGGAGGGGCTATAATTTTCGGGTCATCCTGGGTCTATGGGTCGGGTGACCCAGGCCAAGCCATCACCCGCCTGCCACCCACCCAGCGGGTAACCCAGGTCAAATCTTCACCCGCCCGTCACCCAGAAAGGCATGCTGGCTGCGCCCGCCCATAACTCACCCAAGACAGCTCATGTAGACTTAAATCCGACCCATCACCCTGTGGGTCGGGTGGGTGCAGGTGGGTGCGGCTCTGGGCACCCGGTGCCCAGCTCTAATAATCAGCAAAATAATCACTAATTTAGTAATTTACTGTTCATTTCATGACAGACAATACCAGACGCAGACGAATCAAAAAAAACCTGCGAAACTACAAGACACTTGTTACATCTTCGACGCCACACGGGTCCTACCGGACCCGACATAGGGTTAGAGGGACACAGTAGGGCCTAAAGGCCCGACCTTGGGGGTACTACAGGCCGTAAAGGCCTTACCTTGGACCAGACCCGACGGGCAGGCCCAAACRACATTACCGTTTGGGCCTGGCGGCGCTCTTRAGGCTGCCRCCCRCYGGTTGGGGCTGAACCRTCCAYCTTGACGGTTCAGGGCACGGCCAGGCCTCGCAGCATTGAGGCCGGCCTCTGCCCCACCKGTACAAAAGTACCGGTCCAGCCTCATTGAGGCTATCGACCCACCGGCACTCTAACGGTGCGGTATGGTACGGCGCGAATCAGCGCTGGCGCTAAGTTTAGCGCAGG